TCTAATGTATAACACCACTCCTCTCTTTTTACACTGTGTCAACGCTGTAAATAGTTTCCCTAATTTTTGTTGTTTCAATATATAATCATGTTGTTTTTTAATATGTACTTCTTGTAGGCAGATTATATCAAATTTTAATTTTTCTAACTTGTGAAATATTTTTCTTCTTTTAATAGCGGAATTAAGCCCATTTATATTAATTGTAATTAGTTTTTTTCTCATCCATTTTAGACTTTATAAGAAGGATTTGTTGCTCTAGTAGATCTTGGTTCTCGTTGCTCTCTGGGTACACCACCTACAGCTTCTTCTTCTTTTTCAATTACTGCTGTACATTCCTCTTGAAATTCAATTAACGACTCTTCTTTTCTTGTATCTTCCTCCCTTCCTCTAAAATATTCCAGATAGAATAACTCCGCTTTTTCAACTGTATCAATTCTGTGTCTTTGTTCCTACCAGGTAAACATGAGACCTTCTGGTATCAGCCATCTGTAATTTATTCCTCTCTTAAGTAACTCTTTGGTCAAGAATAAATATTCTCTTCTTATCTCTCTCACTCTTCTCGGTACCTGTTTCAGTACCACTATTTCTTTATCTTTGTACTTTAGTGTTTTTTCTCTTGCCGCCTGCAGTATTTGTGATTTAATTATTTTCTTAGTAAATCTGATATGAACTTCTCTTGGCAGTTTATTTCTCATCGCATATCTTGTATAGACATGAAAAACCTCATCCATTCTATCCATCATCTTCTCTTTAGTTACCTCTGATACTTCTGCCAGGATTTCTGTCATCATTTCAGCAAGGTTTTCACCCTTTTCTTCTTCTATATTTTGAAATCTAAGATAGAATTCTGATCTATCAATTTTCCATCCCAATGTTTGCAGAGATCTGCCCTTATCTCTTTCCACTTCACTCAATCGGGTATCCATATCTCCAATCTTCTTATCTCTTTGTACATCTTGTTCTTCAATTTTCTTGATTCTGTCCTCGTATTGCATCATCATCTGTTGAATATTTTCAATTTTCCCATCTGTCTTTTCAGTTCTTTGCTCAATGTTCTCTGTTCTCTTTTCAATATTATCTGTTTTTACTTGTATCTTTTGAATTCCTTGCATAAATCATCTGCAGTGTCACTTCTTTCTCCTTCTCTTGTTGTAACATCACCTGTATTGATCGTTGTCCTCCAGATAGTGAGGAGAAAGAAGTTGGGATTGAAGAAGCTGAGGCTGGTATCTTTCTGCTCATCTTAGAGTACTTAATAGAAAAACTGAGAAGAAAAAGCAAGAGCAGCCAACTGCCACTCCAGTAAAAAAATAAAAAATAAAAATAAAAAGGGGAAGGGAAAAAATCTTCAGGCACTTGAATACCTTAATCCAATTGATTCCAATTATATAGAAAAAAAGAAAAAAAAGAAAAAAAATGGAAAATGGAAAAAGGATGAAAAAAAAATAGGGAAAAATTTAAAATGACAGAAATCCGTATACTCCCGTTGCTAAAAAGGTAAAAAAAACTTTTCCAAAAAGTTATTTTGAAAGGAAAAAAGAAAAATTAAAAAGAAAAGACCAGTCCAGTTTAAAAATTGAAAAGGTTTTACAAAATCCAAAGTTCCAATAAAAAGAAAGAAAAAACCTTCAGGTTTAATTTGTGCTTAATCTCGCCGCTTGAGCACTTTTATCTTCATTTTTAAATTTAATTTTTAGTCTTTTAGGGTGTTCTCTCCAGAAAAAAATAAGTAGAAAATTATCTCACCAAACTGACACACTTTCTTTCTAGCTTTCTTCCGTTCTGGAGCTGTCCCAGCTTCAGTAGCTTTAATGGCTGCCTCTCCACCACGGGAAAAAAGGGCTTCTCCTGGATCTACCAGGGACTTTGCAATGTCCCTGGGATCAACAGGATGTGCCCTCCTCAGTCACCGTCTCTACGGGACGGTTTAGGTCCGTTGGGACCGTCCTGCAATGGAGATATCAGCAGCTATCTTAGAGCTTAAAGATCGCATGCTGTACCACCGCGATGCCAGCTCTGCCCTCCAGCAGCTTCTCCTTTTTGCAAATTGACTGGGTATATTTTGAAATGTTATGAGAGTTTCCACAAATAACTCCCCTAGGCCTGTGCACACATAAAGGATTTCTAGGAATCTAAGGATAGTTTGGAAAGCCACAGAAGAAATATTTTCTTTCATTTACTCTGCTTGACAAAGCCCACAATGTTCTATTAACCCTAGAGATATCATTTCAAAAGTCGAGTTATTCATGAGTTTGAAATAGAATGGCTAGCTGGTTTCGAGAGATTCATGCAGTCAATCTACATGGAAAGTCTATTTGTACAGGGACAATCACATGTGTTTAGAATGCCAAATTGGTGTGTGAGATTTTATGGATATAAATTACTTTTGCCATCCTAACAATTAAAGTGAACAAAGAGTGGTCTATGCATAAGATTTACCTTCCAAAAAGAGATAGCACCATCTAGTGTTGGTCTCAAACTAGTTTTTTAAATGCGACTTATTAATGCAAAATACACTACAACCTGGTTAGACATTTAATGCATTTTCTTCATCATTTCATTATATATTGATCTGAAATAGGATGGGTGAAAAACTTAGATGTTAAAGAGTCTTCCATTTCCACAAATTAACCAAAGTGAACATCGTTAAGCATAAAATATTTGTTGTAATTAGGAATTAACTGACCTGATTAAAAGTGTTATGTGAATCCAGACAATGCAGAATTTGTTCTAATGTAACTTTCCATAACTTCACGCCCTTCAGATATATTGCGTAGAAATTCCAGTCCATTTAGTCTAACACATATAGGAGAACCTTTTCTGGTATGCCACTTGGACTACCTAGATTGTAATAGCTTGATAATTGGGAGTCACATTATCTGACTCTGTGGTTTCTTCCCCAAACCCCAAAAACTTTAACCTTAGACTGTCTACTATTGACCTCACCCCTTTCCTAAGAGGTCTGTAGGGTGCATGCCTACCGTCCCTGTCCTATTGTTTCTTTTATATTTTTTTATTTTTCTTATATGTATTCATGTATTCATAACTATGTTTTTACTTATACCTATTATCTTGTAAGCAATTGACAAAAATAAATAAATAAATAAAAATCTTTATCATGGGTTTTGACTACTGTAATGTGACCTTTATCAGGCTGCTTTCAAAGAAGATCCTCAAACTGCAGTCAGTATAGAATGCAGGCGCAGAATGTTGATAGGTAAAAGGTATTACTATCATATAATTCTACTTCATTGGTTGCTATATTGGCTATCTGATACTTTGGGCTAGTGATTGCTCAGAGTCCTAACCCCTTGATTAAGAGAGCCAGGATCCAAAGGGAATCCTCTACTACAGCGGCTCTTTTCTTTTGTAATATTTTATCCTTGTATATGAACCAGATGTCCTCCTACATGTTAAATTAGTGGTGTTTTGGTGGTGTTTTATTGACATGGGGAAAGGGCAGATAAGAACAGAGACCGCTGAAAGTAAACAAGAAAATAAATATGCTAATGTGCAGTAATTTTATGGCAAATATTTAATTTCAAGAGCTGAATAGAGATAGGTCAGCTACTACTGATTCTTCTTATAATGATATGATTTACACCCAGATAGTTATTTTGTGTGATATACTTATTCAATACTTGATACAATCAGCTAATACAAAAGTATTTTGTACAACATTACAGTTCTTTGTTTGGTAGGATAACTACAATGGCTTTTTTTTATAAATATGTATAGCGACACTTTTAAAGTTACAATAATCAAGTTGGGAATAGGCATATATAAACAAGTCCTGCTGAACTTTATAAAATAACCTTCTTTTCTGTCAATGTTACATTAATAAGAGACAACCATGGTAAATTTGTTTTACTATTTATTATAGTTTATTATTTGGTTAAACTTGTCTAAAATGGACAAGTTCATGGAATTTCTCCCCATTTTATTTCCAGACCTTAATAACTAGTGACCAGAGTTATTCAGTAAATATGAATATGTTATCTACACACATCTGGTCTAACATCTGAACACAATCATAACACTATGCCACATAGCTGTCATTTAGGCTTTTAAAAATAAATGTTTATCTTTTGCTGGTACTTTGTATTTTTAAAAGTACTTTAGTCTGGCAAGATTTCCTAGAGAAGAATGTTTCCATTTCACAAGATCTGCAAGATTCAGACCAGTTTGAATGAAAACCCTGGATATTTTTCCTTCTGAAAAATGATGCACTAACTCATAGATGCAGTTTCTGAAAGGATACATTTTTGAGGACAGGGTAGATGAAGGAGGAAAGACAACTTTCAGCTATATAATCAGACATTCTATAGTATAGATTTTAAATCTGTTCTGAGGTCATGTTTCATGCAATATTCAATCAAAGCTTGAATCAGAGTTTTCAATATATGTCATAGCTCCTTCATTACTTTAGTAAAGCTAAATTTCACTGGAAGAGATTATTTCAGGCCCTCCCAAAAGTTGAGAATGACATATTAAGAGTCAAAAGTTTAGTGGAACAGAAGTTCCTTTGTTTCTCCCAATCCTGCTTGGCATCTGACTATACTTAACCATATTTTCAATAATGTCAATATTTCATACTGAAAGTGGGCTCTAAAAAGCTCAGGACACTGAAGAAATCCTACACTGCAAATATCTAAAAAAATTATATAGCGCATGTGATCAGGCATAAATATTAGCTTCCACATAATCTTGCAGTGCACATTTAGCTACAGTAAGCATTTGTATTGTAGGGTGTAGTGAACACTTTAATAATGTGGAGTAGAGGAATAGATCAGAGTCTCACCCAATTATCTATCAAATATGGAAGCTTTACAGGTTTAGTTTCCTTATCCATGAAAGCAGCCAAAGTCTACAATTCGACTTCAATATCTTTCCATCTTTGGAACTCATAATTTACCCAATATTTATTTATGAAGAGAATTTATTTCAATTCATGTGGTCATCACAACCTAAGAAACAAGCTTTTATATCAGTTTATTAGTGCCAGGATCAATTTATAAAACTTACTAGTATAAGAAATTTCTCTGCACAAACATTATCTTGAAGGAATGAAGGAATTTAGTTCTAGACTGCACATATAGAGATTATTTCTTATAAGAAAATACCATTGCAGCATTATCAACATAATTAATAGAAGATGAGGGCTCTCAATACATTTTCAGCACAATACTAAGCCCTGCACAGGGGAGAACACACTTCAGTTGCAAAATCACTTCTTTTCAATCCATCATTTTGAAATAAAATTAGCTATAAAACAAAATTCACAGAGACTAATTGCCAAACTACAATTCTTTTTCTTCTCTAAATGTCATGCAAATGTTGGGATATAAATGCAATAGAAAAGAATCCATCCATTGGGAAAACGTATCTAGATTCCTGTGCCTAAAGCAAAAATAATCCGTAGTTCAACACAATGACCACAAAACAGATTTTATAAAAAGACCATTTATTTTTTATAGAAAAACACACACATTACACAGAATCATTATAATTGTCCAATTCTTATCCTCCAAAGCTATTCTGGAAATATTTTAAAAATCATCCAGAACTGCACTTGAATCTTCTCTCTTAAAATGAACAAAAGATATTCCATTTCCTTTATTCAAGATACTTCTGAAAACAAGTTCATTTCACATTCCAAGTGTCCTCAGTTTCTTTAAGTTGAAAATGCCAAAAATGATAAACCAGATCAATGGAAGCCCTTAGGATATTTGACTGCTAAACCCATGACTGAAGCTTTGATAAATATACTGAGAATCTGAGTCTCAAATAAGAAACAGAATGATCATAACGTAGGAGTGGGAAAAAAAATCTTATGGAGATAAAAGATCTGTTTGAGGAATGATATAAAACTGGCACAATTGAAAAAAGAGTGTACTATTTCAGGTGTAGTTCAGAACAGGACATGAAGCATCACCTCAAATCCAAAGGGAAGAACTATGTCCTGCTGACCAATTGATGCTTGGAAGGAACTGCTTCTCTTTCCAATCCAAAAGAATGGGCAAAACTAGAGAGACAGGGAATCCTCAAAGAATAACAAGGAATTCCTGAATCAAACCTGAGTTTCTTTCCACAAAGAGACAATGTCAATGTGTAACAAGTGCTTGAGAAAATTCAAGCAATCTCCTGGGCTCATCTATTCCATAATTATTGCATTTAAGTATGTTTTTGTTTCTTCCTCAAACTCTGAGAACAAAAAAACATACGAAATAAAAATACATATGAAAGTATCATTTGTGCTTTCCTTATCACAATTTTACTGTAGAAATAAGATGTTTTAATGTATGGGCAAAAAATAATCTCAAAAATTATCTCGTACTAGGAAACAATAAAGACAAAGAGGTTTGTTAAATGTTGTGGTCTGTCAAGTTAAATAACATCTAGTGTCATGCATAAATGTCAAGTGTGAAACAGTTCATTATGAAGAAGACTTTCTGAAAAAAAAAAAGATTGGTCAGCCAGCCAAATCATTTGCTAAGCCTCCTAAATAGCTCAATCTCAAACCATATTGGCTCTATAAACTTTCCAAGTCACAGATTTGAAGAGAGTTCTTTAAACTCTCAAGATGCAAATCCTTCCAGGATCATCCATTTGGATATCCCTACATTACAATTGCAATTTTATGATCACTTGATTAGGATAGAGCAATACAAATCAGGACTATAACACAGCAAAGAGGAACCAAATCAATTTTGAGTTGATATCGTGTAGCTAAAATTGGACCGTCCTCTAATAATACTCCTTGGAATGTCTATGAAAGATGTTTCCAATGAGGCTTAGCTCAAATACCTGTTTAACACTATAAGTGGATATTTAAAAAATTATAAATATGCACCTAAATCAATGCAAGTTGAATGGATATTTATGCACAATGAGTGATCTGTACACATTCTTCCATTTCTTAATGAATATACAGAAATGACAGCAATAATCATTATTAAATCTGTATGTCTGCAACCTGTGTACAATGTACATTCAACTCATATTACACCAGTGTATTTGGAAGATCAACATTTTCTGTTCACTCTGAAGCATTTTGAAAAATGATTCTTATGCTTTTACTTCAGTATAAGTTTGATTCAAATCATATTATATTTAAAGCATATTGATTTTATTATACTTTTATTCAGACTTCTTATTGCTTGAAAATACTAGCTGTGCTTGAAGATGGACTGTCCTAAATCACAGGACAGTCTCATGGCTGTGGGATAACAGTATGTGGAAGACAAGACCTAAGTCTCGCTCTATAACAGCACCAAAAAAGAACTCTGTGGGAAAAAAGGGAAAAATATCTGTGGGAAAATTATCACTTTCCTAGTGAATACATACAGTAAATGGTACATTGAAGGGCACAGCCCTTGGCATTGTGTCATGCACAAAGAAACAACTGGGGATAGGCATTTTCCCTTACTCCTATTGTGCTGTCCCAGCCAGTCTATAGGAATTGGATAGTTACTTAGGAATTATGAGCTGTCCGCTTAAGGGAATGAATCATGGTAAATGTAGTTAAAGGTATTCTGGGAAATGTAGTTCATGTCACATGGCCACATCTGTAATCCCGATTGGTCACTATTTTAACCCTTCTTGGGTTGGGGGAGTTTTCCTCACTTTTGCCTGAACTCCCTAACTCATGGCAGCTGCTTTCTATCGCTATGAGATGGGTTAGGAGATAACCATCTTTTACTTTTCTGTCTTCTGCACAGTAGTGGATTTTTAAGCTGTGCAGATGCAGATAGATAAACTCAATGAGACATCCATAACAAAGTACATTTATTGGTTCATCAGCTATCCTCATAACTCACATTTGTGATGAAGTTCTTTAATGACCAATCCTTTGCATATCTGCCTCGTAGTAAAAGATGGTTATCTCCTAACCCATCTCGAAGCGATAGAAAGCAGCTGCCATGAGTTAGGGAGTTCAGGCAAAAGTGAGGAAAAAGTCCCCCAACCCATGGAGAGTTAAAATAGTGACCAATCGGGATTACAGATGTGGTCACATGACATGAACTACATTTCCCAGGATACCTTTAACTACATTTACCATGATGCATTCCCTTAAGGAGACAGCTCATAATTCCTAAGTAACTATCCAATTCCTATAGACTGGCTGGCACAGCACACCTATCCAATCCTTTTCATCCACCTTTCATACCCTTACCCTGCAGTGTCAAAGTCTAATTGAAGTGGCAAGCTGGAAATCTGATCATTTGTTTGCTAACCCAAAAGGATCTGTGGCAATGTGTACTTGACTTTATTACAGTTCATTCCACATTACTATTGTAATTAGTCAGGGTCTGCCTGCCGGCCCCCAAATTAGCCAAATTAGCCATAGAGGATTTCTAGACATTTGACCACTGAACTAATAATGTAGTTTTCATTAGAACATTTAGCAGGCTCTATCCATTTTCTGAAATGTAAGTAATTACATAAAACCCACAGCATGAAAAGAAGAAGCAGGAAATCTGATAGTACTTCTCGAAAGACTTAAGTCTCAAGCATATCTAACTGAAAGAAAGCAATTGTGATTCTCAAAATAAATCAATTGGAGTGGGCCCTGTAAGAGCAAATTTGTACAAAGTACGTTTTCTAAAAATCAGTTTGCGAGGCTGCTGAAGCAGCATCATGTAAAAATAATAATAATAATAATAAAAAAGAATTTGATTTTCACCTAAGACACAAGAGGGATTTTCCATTAAATATACTGCACAGAAACATTTCCTTCCTTCTCTAGAGATGTTATCTAGAGAGGTCACTTAGTTATAAGGCAGATTTTTTAACTGTATGCAAACGATTTCAATTCCACTCTCCTATTAATCAAGAATAGGGGTCTGCTTTTGTTTGTAAATCACAACTTTTGGTAGTGGATCTTATTTAAAAGTCTGTGCAACAGTTTTCCTTTGAAATTTCTATCCCAATAAAAAGTGCCATTGGAAAAAGAGCTAAATGCTGACAAATGCACCACGTGTTCTCAATATGAAACATTGGTAGAAAAAGCAGCTCCAGATCAAGATCAGATGGTTCTGTTGTCAGGGCATTTTGGCTTACCAGACTCAAGTCTGAGTAAATCTGGCCCTTCCAAAATCCCTCTGTCCCCAAAATAAGGCCATCCATCTCTCTTCTTCAGTCCATTTCCATAGACATAAGGCGCCGACGCTCTCGCCTAGTTTCTTGAACTTCCTTCTTGCAACACCAACGGGAACTACAATAGCCAATCAGACAGGATAAAAGACCGATAACTGAAGATAGCCCAACGCCAATCAACAGTGGAAACTTGAAAGCATTCAGCACTGAGAGAAGGAGAAGAAAAAAAAAGTAATGTTACAGACAAATCACATGGAGCAGCTATTTTTTTTACATGAAAAAAATAGTATTTCTAATCTAATAAGAACTGGATTTTGTGTGTTATTTGTTCAAAGGACCTCCTTTTATTCCTTTTCTTCTTTGAATTTGACCTGGATTAAGACCTAGATATTTCATGTTCAATATGACTGAATAGCTGTTTACTGGAAACTATGACACTGAATTGTCATTCATTATTAAGCAAGAATATACAATGGTAAATTTGTAAGATGGGCTAGCTACCACTAAGAATAAAAACTGTGTATCTCCATACAACCAACTCTATCTAAACTGTGGAAATCTTTATTTGTCTGTCATCTAGGGAGTTTTTGAATTAATTTTGTAGTATTTTTATTATTGCAAGATACTTCAAGAAGGTACTGATACTGCTGCTATTGTTATTGATCTATTGATTAAAAAAATCATATGGTTTAAATTGCATATTGCCTTGGAATTTTACTGAATTATGAAAAATCAGGGAAGTTAGCAGAGAGATGTTTGTACAAGGAAAGGCCCAAATAGTTTGTCTACCTTGCAACTAAAGGCTGAGGAATTCTTAGGAAAAAGGTAAGGATTCTGCCCCTCATCTAATCACATCCAATCCTTTTTCTTCTAAGAAAAAATGGCATGCATTTTTTCCTTATCCAAATTGCAATATATAATAAAATAAAAACATAGAGGAAAGATTTGACACAGCCTTCTATTAGCCCTTATTTGTTGCTGCTACATGAAATAGAAAATCCTGACAGAAAGTTAAGGATAAATTTTCAGTGAGAACACTTACCATCCATCTTCACAGTTACAAGAATTGCTTTAGATTTTATTTCCTTTTCCTGTTGCCAAACATCTGCAGCTGATCGCACCCAAGGAGTTACCAAACAGAAGTGATTGCCAAAATCATGATCTTCACAGCCATGAACTCTAAGCCGGTACTCCATAGGGGAAATTCTTTCTAAGCTGAGATCACTGCTCCCATTTCTTCTTGCTTGTTTCACAATTCCTTTCCGATCTACTGAAGCCAGGAAAACAGGTTCTTTGTCCATTGCAAAAGAACGTGTGGCAAACCAGGAGACATCAAATGACATGTCATCTGGAATTGAAAATACAATAATAAACCCCAAAATAACAGCAGGCATAATAACCACCATTCTCAACAGAATTCTTGGAAATTTTAGGAAGATATATACATTTTCCCCTCCTTCAAAAAGTTAACTCTACTGAATTGCACAAGCTTAGTTGAATTCAGTGTATGATTGAGAATTTATAGGGTCTTTTAAGCAATAACTTCAATTTTAAAATTCCTACCCACAGAATGAAGGGTGAAGATGATTTGTATAAAGAATTTTTGCTAGACCAAAGCTTTAGGCAAGCGTCATGGAGAATAGCAACTGAACCATTATATTATAACTAAATTTCTCTGCACTTATTGCTCCATCACAAAAGTAAACTTGAAGTCACTATCACCACAATTACTTTATTCCTGCCCCTGGACTTGAAAGGGTTAGACTTTTCCTCAAATTTCCAGGAGACTGTGTAGACTTTTTTATGAACTTTCCTTACTGTTATTACTACTACCCCCTCTTTCTTGGTAGGATAAAATGATCAACTCTGAGAATGGGGCTAACAGAGTTGAACATATCAAATGTTACTTTAGTATAGTTGGGGTAACGTATACTGCTTTTTGCAATTTATCAATTTCCACATCTAATTTATAATGTTGTTTATTCTCCAATTTCATTGTTTTAAGTTTCCTGTAAAACATCTTTTTTCATGTCCAAAAAAATGTCCAAAATTCTTCAGATGCTTTACTGAAAATGTTCTACCACATGTAATGATATGACTGTGGTTTTGGAAATGTCTTTCCAGAGGTACACTTACTTTTAAAATGTGTTGTGTATGGTTTTTATGCAAAATATGTGTAGCTTAAAGACATGCAAATGTTATAAATATATCATTTTAGTAATATTTTATACATACATTAGAGCTTTAATTACTGGCTTGGTCATCAAAAACAGACAGCACTTCCTTTAAAGGAAGGTTATTTCAGAGTTACCACGTCCCATTATGTACTAATAACTTCCTGTACCACTGACCCAATTCAGATAATCTTTTACCTTCATATGTATATAAGGTATGTGTCACTATATATGTCAATTTTACTAGGGAATAAGCTCCCAAGATCCTACACTGACTTCAACCTCTAATACAGAATGACAGCTAGTCAGAACCCACCATTTTTTATATTTTAATAGGAACAATTTTTATAAATCCCTGAGTAGATCTGTACTTTTAAGCTCATTAGGCTAGTAGCTGTTGTTGGAAGTTTAATTGTTGCATTCAGTGTAGAATATCTTGGTGTATCCCACTGTAAGATGGAAACCAAATGTGGGAACTTGTCTGAATAAATTTGCCACACATTCCTACAAGCATTTGTAACATTGTCCTAGAGATCATTATCACAATCGGTGAATACAAAGATGAATTAGACATGTTCTTGACAGAAGAACTGCTTCAACTGTTTCATTGTATATATGAAAGGCTTATGAGAAATATAATGAATTGCCTGTATTCAAATAGTTTAAATGATACTTAACTGATGAAAGATGCTGGATTCTAATTTTATTTTTATTAAATTTCCTGCTTTTCCATCCTTAAAGTGGTTAATTAAAAATTGTACAGTATACTATTAAAATAATTATACAATATAATGATTCAGACTATGCAACATTTTGTTTTTTTACAGGTAAAGGATCTTTTGCAATGTGTAGCACTCTATCTTCCTGTAGCTCATTAAAACACCAAGCCTGTTTTCCAGCATTATGAGGATGTTTTAATGAAACACAAGCAAAAGGTTGTGGTCCTACTGCTATGTGTTCCAAAGCAGCACTATCAAACTGAATCTGGAGGAATGCACACCCTAATAGCAATCAAGTAAGAGCAGCTACATGTTTAATTTAATTAGTACACTATTAAAGTGCAGGGGTGAAAGTTTACTGAATATATAAAATGTTTTATATCCTAACAAAATATTTATCAAATTCTCTAACTCTAGAACAGTATACTAAAAGTCTTCAAAGACTATATTAAAGTTGTCCAATTTAGAAATCCCTCCATTCATTTGGAAAACCAAAAATTATTTAGTTGCCAAGAATTATTTAGTTATCTATTTAATTATTTAGTTGCAACAAACAGCATATATGTTTTCAAAGAATGATAAAGATCACAGACTACATTTTTATGAACCTCATAAAGATTATGGAGATAGGCAGATATCAAAGAAGGAACTTAGACCTAAGATTTTACACTTTAAAAAAAATACAGAACGTCTCCCCAATACTCCTAAAAATAAACAAAGACCTTTTGGTCTAATTTTAGGTTTAGCACAAATTGCTTATCTGTTCTTTGATGCTATGAAACACTGCAATTGATCATAAGCCACATATTGACCATACTTGTAATAATGCCATCTGCTATTGAACAAAATTCTTTATTTTAAAGATTCCCAATGGTTCCATTCCAGTAAGACCATAGGATCCAGTTATCTGAGTGGGCACGTTCCTCCAGGTTTTTTTTTCCTGCCCATCTGGTGTAATCAGGCAGAGTGGGTATGCTGCATGTCCCAGTGCTTAAGCAGTATCATCTTGCGGGGTCCATGAAGCATGCCTTGTTTGTCAGATTGCCTGCCTTCTAGAATATCTCCCCAGAGATCTATATGGCCCCCACCCTAATAATGTACAGAAAGCTATTAACGATGCTTCTGTAGGATTCTTTGGTGTTATATTCTTTATGGGGATGTTCATAATTCTTTTTGTTTTCTTTCTCTAATTTCAGAATTAGCGATGCCCAGAATAATTGGCTTTCCCTATAGCTGCCTACAAATTGTATGAATAAACATTGTAATACACAAAACACTCAGTTAATATAAATTCATTATTGCACTACAATGCAGGCACATCCGCTTGTGAATAAGACATTATAATACCCTGTATTAGGATTTAATTCTGACTAATGAGAATATCATTGTGTTACAAAAAAAATATTCTGACAAGGTATATTGAAAGTGTGATGTGACTTGAGCAGAATTCTCTGAATTTGATTGTGTCTTTGAGCCAATTGTACCCAGAACAGGTAGCCTCTAGATGCCACAAGCCATATTAGGCTGAGTAATAATCAATAGTTAAATTTCAGAAAGAAACTGATAGAGCTCAATTATTGTAATAATGATATAATATACTAGTAATGGACCTGGCCTATTATTATTTTGAAGCTAAAGTTTCTGATACTCTCTAAGGCAATTCCCTGTTATGTAAATTACACTGCAGTCCATTTTAGAGATGACAAGCCAAAGTGACTGCATTCAGCACCACCTTTTCCTTTAATGGCTACATTTTGTCCAACAGCTGAAGTTGTGTAAAGGTTTGATTGGCAATGGCATCCACCTGGTCTTTGTTACTCAGCCTATTCATTTAAGAGGAATGGAACTGCTCCAGAGCCCAGTTTGTAAAGTACAAGAATAAGCAAATGTGAAGAATTGAAGTATACGAAGCTTTCATAAATAATGGGTAAGTTGAACAAAGTATATTTCAGCATGAATTAATGGAATGAATGAATTGATGAATGAGTGAATTCATTCATTCATTTCCAGCCTTTATTATTTTTACAAATGTTTACTTCAACTTCTATTTTCTCCACAACTATTCTGTGAGGTGGGTTGGGCAGAGAAAGAGACTGGCCCAAAGTCATCCATTTGGCTTTCATGGCTAAGGTGGAACTTGAATTTTTGATCTAATACCACATTTAGTATATTATTACTATGTGAATTTTAAGTAGATTATTAAAAACACAGAGTGATGCTTAAAAGTTTGTCCATTCTACTGAAGCTTCAATATTTCTGGATAAATATTATCTAAAATGTTATCAGCTCTCCAAGGCAAATTCTGAAATTAGATAAAGAAAACCCAATTAAACACATGAGCCAAACAAATACTTGTTCATTTATTTATTCAAAGAGTTTACAATTTTTTAAGCACCATTGTAGATATGGGGAGAAGATGGAATGAAAAATGTATGTGAATGTGATACGAATATGGCAGTTCTCACAAAAGCTAAGTAGGGTTAAATCTGGCTAGTACTTAGATGGAAGATTACCAGGAATTCCTAAGGCTGCAAACTTTTTCAGACATTGAAAAAATAACCTAGAAAGCAGGAATGGTAAGTCCTTTCTGTATTGTTCTAAAGAAATCAACATGGATGTGTCCATGTAGTCATCAGGAGATTTTAAATGGGTAACAGCAATTATACTGAGACTGTTAAATGTGCTTGCAAATTGTAATTTTCTTAAACTTCATTAATTGCACTAATATTTATTACTTTTACTGAACATTAATAGTGCAATTAATTTTTTCTGCAAACTGAACGCTGAACTAGGTTTATTACTTATAAGTACTGACCCAAACATTTAAGGAATGGCTCACATAAAAAAAGAACATTTGTCTCAGTGCAGGAAGATTTTTTTAAAAATGTTCTATTAGGCACTTTCAATAGATCAGGACAAATATTAAGGATTAAGAAAGAATAGACAGATACTCCAAAGTGTGCTCTCGTCATGCTGCAAAACAAACCTAATTTGTAGAACTGAGCACTAAACTAAACAGCAAAGCTGAACACCTACTAGAACTAGAGAGTTTATTCAAAGTGTCCTCTGAAGTATACTGAATTTTGCATGGCCACAAACACGATAATGAATAAAGATGACCCTTAAAATTTAAATCCTTTCGACCCTTATAAATGAAAAAAAGAAAAAAAGGTTTTCCTGAATACCTGGGGAGTTGCAAATTTATTAAATATTCAAAGTTCATTGACCATGCTGAGAAGTCCCATATTAATAAGAAAAAAAAACATTTCAACTGGTACTTTTCTGGTATACAGAAAAGTAAAATCCGGCTTTCTGATTTAGCTATAAACCTGGTACTTCACCCACCAATACCCAGTGTTTGCACAAACATCTTTTGAGGACAATCCAATGTGTACCACAAGATACTTGGCTATGGGGATGTAGGCTATAAAATAATCCACAAAATTTCTTTGATTAGGAAATAAACTACTGAAAAGTGGAAAACATATTGAAATGATACCTGGATCAAGTACTGTTGATTCAATGGTGATGATGCAAAACAAGTTTACCAGATCACCTCGATAAATGGTTGGGCTATCTGAATGCACTGAAACATTAAAAACAGGTCCTAGGAAGAAAGAAAAACAAGTGTTTATCCAATGTTGCTACAAAACTTTTCATTGTGCTATATACCTATGCAAACCTGAGTAGTGCGTAAAAATGCTTGATCAAAACCTCACATAAACAGTTCTTCATTCTTAATAACAAAGTATATTTTATGATGATGATAAACAAGCATTGCCTAAAAGCCTTTGAACAGAAATAGCTGCAGGTTTTCTAGACACTAACAAATGAAGGAATCTTTCTGTAACACATATTTCAGGCTGAGAGTGGCATGGAAACAAAAGAGGCAGAAATCTCTAAAAAGAAGATATATGTAGCAAAAAGTTGTTAGCCCAAGAACAAAAGGCATAAGGTTGGGGAGGAAAGCAAGACTGACCCATACATTAGGCACAATGTCTTGGGCCACCCAAAATGTTTTTTTTTTCAAAACCACAAATAAAAATGGAGCAGAAGCTACTTATTTTCATTTTAATAAAAAGAAAGAAACAGGTACAAAATGTACCCTGAATATCAAATCAATGAATTTCTCAGTGAATATGTGAATATTGAAAACAAATTAACTATAATTTTAACATTATTCTTTTTATGGAAGAATCCAGATAAGTTATAATATAATCCCTATGAGGTGGGAAATGGAAGGAAAGATATAGGTTTTTTTGCGTTAACATTAAAATGGCTGCTTGTTGTGTGAAGTAAATCACATGGACAAAGACATACAGTATAAGGATTTAAGTGAATGAGTTAGAAATGCAAGATTTTAAAGGACTGAGTCAAATCTGGGACTGGAGAAAAAACTAATGTTAGGATTTAAAAGTATTAGGAAGTCAGAGTGAATATATAATGCTGAATTAAGTCTTCTAGACAATGATGTAGGACCAAATGTAAAACTGGAAAGTCAGTGACAATAATGTATCAGCAATCAAAGATTTATAGTAAATGCTTTTGTTGAAAACTTCACAGTTATGTAACTGAAGTTTTGTATACAAAAATCATCTTGTAATAAGACCAAAATTGGAAAAAAGGACCATGAGGCAAAGGAAAACTAAGAACATCATGCCTGTTCAATAGGACAGAAGGTATTTTCAACTGCTAAAAAGTACTCAGGGAAAATAAAACTTAAGAGGAAAAGTAAGGAGTGTGGTCTTAATAAATAATTGGTATGGATTTTGACAAACAACAAAACACCATGAAGTCAAGATTTTATGCAAGATTTCACGTAGACGTGCCAGACACTTGATTCTATAATTTTTCATTATACTATGTTTGACATAAAAATGTGATACCACTCAGACTTAGTTCATCTTTTTAAAGAAAGATGACATTAGTTAACATTTTAATAGGAGCACATGGAAAACAGCTTTAAATATTATTGTGTTCATTTCCCACATGGAGCTGGAAATAAATATGAATCATGATTTGAGAAATAAAAAAACTGAATATAAACATGTTTAAAAATATGAAGAAGTCCAACCCACTTGGAACTACATTACTCCTACAATTTACAATTAGCTATTGGTTAAGGAAAGGAAAATGAGACAAAACCTTTTTCTGTTTTCAAATAATACCCTTAATTTTGGTGATGTCTTTATGCCAACATTTTCCTACCTGGCCTTCTCCAGATATGACTGGTAGAAACTCTTCACTCTTTGGGGAATTGCAGAAATTGCAGTCTAAAATATTGGGAGGACGATTGCTGCTCTAAGCTTATTCATGCTACACTAGTTGGGTTTCTCTTATAGCCAAATCAAGTCAGTAATCTCAGAGGAAACATTCAGGAACACAACAAGTTTCTATTAAGAATATTATTGGTTTGAAAACTACATTACTTTTTTGCCAATGCTGAATCAGCTGCAAGAATCAAACCTATGTATTGAAAAGTGAAGTGTGTTTTTGTTTAAAAAAAAAGTAAAAGAAACAAGGAAAAATTAATTTTTTTTCACCTATGGATACTTTGTGCAGTCTTGAGACTAAATTTTACTATCATGGAAAGAATTACTCCCATACCAAATAATTCCCAGTTATTCAAAATTAACATTTATTTTTTGTTCTCTTAAGTGTATATTTATAAGATAAAAAGTATAGACTTTGTAAACAGACAGGGTGAGAGATAACGAGGATACAAACAAAGGAACAAGGAAGTTTCTTTATTTTTTGCTTTTAGAAAATGAACTACAAAATGAATAGAAGATGCTGCAAATATAGATAATCAAAGTTATTTCATTTTCACATCAGCATTAGACGTGGTCATTTTTCTTTTAGTGAAACTGAAATGTCTGTACAGATAAAGCAACACAAAGTATGATACATATTTATATGTATTAAAACTCTTCTATGTAATTTCCAGTTCAGTCAAAAAATAGTTCCATTTAAATTAATCCTGTATCAAATTCAGAGGGAATTATTGTATTTTTCAATACCTTACTAAACTACAAATGGATGAAGAAAACCAAATGTAAGATCCCGATAAGAGTATTTCTGCAGCAGTTACTGGCAATATTTAAAGCAAGATTAATGAAATATGTCTTTCTTATTCAGTATCACTTGTACTTAGAATATTTTACACATAAACCTCTTAGTTCTGCAAATGTACAAACAGGAGAAAGTAGAAAATATAATGAATGATAACTATTACAAAAATATTTTTAAAAAGGAAAAAGTAACTATAGCACTAGCAGTTTCATGTGTATTTGCTGCAAATATGTGGTTCTCAACTACAGAGCACCTGCTACATACCGAATTAACAAACATTATTTGTCTATTTAATTATCAGATAAATTTTACCAAGATTATTTGGATTTTTCTCCAGGAACTCACTTTGGACAGATAATCTTGGAGTTGATAGGCATAAGGGTTGCTGGTTTAAGTACCAAAGTTTTTTTCCCTTTACTATTAAATCCTCCCCACAGCAATCTGTCCAGCATCTTAAAAATGGTACATTTTATAACCAAATTTTTACTTTTCACTTAGCTCTATATAATCTCCTTCTTCCTGCCTTCCAACAAGTGATTCATTTGTTGAGCAACGGGAATGAGAAAATGAAGGTTGTCTTCTCCCAGACTAACAGGGAAGAAAATGGATAAAGAACTGTGAAGTTCAATAGGGGGAGGTGAGCTTTAGTGGTTAGACTTCATAGGAAACCTTTAAATATTCCAGGCTAGCTTAGGCATCCATCAACTTTCAAATCACAAGAACAATTATTAACTTTCAGTAAATTAACAGTTTGGGAAGAACATTATATCTTTCAGTCAAATTCTTATCTTGGAGCAGTAGGCATGGAAAACTTTAAAAAAATTCAAGGACCATGTTTCAATAGAAGTAATCTGTTGTTGGTACACAATGGTTTATGTTAAAGAGAATAAAAAAATGAATGTAGCATTTACTCTGAGCCCATTTTCTTTATTTCTTACACTTTCCTGAAGCTATTCTCTTTTTCTCTCTTTCCCAAGAATCTAGCAGCAGGGAAGAGATAGCGTCTTATCTGGGATCTGATAGCCTTAAAAAAAAAAAAGTCTAGGCCTAAATGAAGGTAAGACCACAAATTGCCTCTTAATAGGAAAATATTTTTTACTAATAAAGAAAAACTTTAAAATAGTTCTGAGGGCGATGTAACAACAGATTCATTTGGCTCAAGAAATGTGATTTACCCAAAGAAAAGGTCCACTGAAGGTAAAACATTACCACTATCTTTTAATTATAGATGGGATTAGATAGCCTAAAAGACTTCCTCCAGTTCTGATTTTAATAAGTTTATAACTATTTTATCTTTTTTAAAATATAAAATAAACGTTTAAAATGTGTGGCAATGATTACAAATCTTCCTAAAATTAAAAAAAAAATCATAAATTACACCCATATTGAAAAAATTGTGACATTGAATGTGTAATACATTATTCTTCACAGGCAAAGCCTAACATTGCCTTCAATCTTAGTTTAGGGACAGTGAACCCTCAAATGACTCCTCTTGTAAGACTTACAGAAAAGAAGGAAATGCTGCAAGGGAAACATCTTGTCACACAGAGTAAATCAAATGAAAGAAAGGCATCCAGCTATAGCCCAACTGTCTCCTCAAAGGAAGAAAATAATGAAAGTCCAGGGTAAATAAAAAAATCATTTTTTAAAAATAAAAATTGCCTTAAAGACGTTGCAAATATTTCATTAAAGAATAACTTGGTTAATTTGAATATGGTAGTCCTTAGATTGAAACACTAAACTCTATCAGGGTTTCCTATTAAGACATTCTTAGTCTCTGTAGACCCTACTTTATACCTATACAAAAACAGAAGTAATCATTTATAAGTTGTGAATAGTTATTGTCTGTCAAATGTAAAGGCATTTTTACAAAAAAAAAAAAAAAGACTGCTCTAAATATCCAATAACAAATCATAATGACATAACAAAAAAGCTATACTAGAGGTTGTAGTAAGGTGGCTTATTTTATTATTACTAAAAAAATTGCCATACAAGTTTTGATACTACTCCACAAACTACAAGGTTTTATTTAAAAGTCACCCTATACTGAAACATTTTAAATATTTTTTTCACCAAAGAAATGAGTCAGAAAGGTGTGTGTGTGTATGTGTGTGTTTTGCCAGGAAGTGGGGTTCAGACTATGCAAACATGCCACAGAGTAAGGTCTAATTAGAAGAAATAAACAGTATAAATAAAATATTTCCAAGAACAGCCAATAGAGAAAAAGAACCATTACCTTTAGCTATGTAGTTGACCAGCATTTTTAATTAATCATTGTAAGAATGAATAATTGGGAGAATTCATTCTTATGTCTGCTTCTAACACATTTTGTTTTAATTTTAAGCTTAAGATCAAACACTCCATTCTTTTCTATTTTCCTTTTGAATGCATGCAAAAAAACCAAACCTATTTAATTCTAAATAGATATTACCTAAAAGCCATCCTTACAAACTATTTAGGAAATAAAGTAGCAATATAAACCAATTGAAGGAAATATGGCTGTGATATCTATTTATTTTTTTGCATGATAATGAA